CATGCCCTCTCTCTAAAAAAAAAAATTAATTAATTAATTAAAGAAATACATAATTAATTAATTCTTGTTGACTCTTCTGATCTTCTGGACCATTGATGTTTCCTGGTATTGTCTCTGGCTTTTTTTTTCTTTACTTTTTTTAATATAAAAGTTTTATTGAGATACAATTCACCCATTTAAAGTGTACAGTTGTAGTATATTCACAGAGTTGTGTAACCATTATCACAATCAATTTTAGTACATTTTCATCACCTCAAAAAGAAATCCCATGCCCCGTCACACCCCCCAACCCTTGCTAACCACTAATCTCTGTCTTTATAGATTTGCCAAATCTGAACATTTAATGTAACTGAAATCACACAGTATGTGGTCTTTTGTGACTGGCTTCTTTCACGTAAACTTAGCGTACTGTTTGCCGTGTTCATCCCTAATATAGCATGTGTTAATACTTCATTCTTTTTTGTTGCTGAATAATATTCCATTGTACACTTTAATTCAGTCATCAACTGCTGAATCTTGGGTTGTTTCTAATTTTTGCCTATTATGAATAATGCTGCTATGAACATTTTGTACTAGTTTTTCTGTGGATATAGGTTTTCATTTCTCTAACCTAAGGGTTGAATTGCTGGGTCATATGGTAACTCAATGTTCAGTCTTTTGAGGACGTGCCAGACTGTTTTCCAAAGCAGCTGTGCCATTTTCCATTCCCACCAGCAGTGTATGAGGGTTCCAATTTCTCCACCTCCTCACCAATCTTGTTATTCTCTTTTTGATTATGGCCATCCTAGTGGGTAGGAAGTGGTATTTCACTGTGAGTTTGATTTAGGCTAATGATATTGAGCATCTTTTTGTGTGCTTATTGACTATTTAATATTTTCTTTGGAGAAATGTCTATTCAGATCCTTTGTCCATTTTCAGATTGGGTTCTCAGTTCTAGTTCATTGATCAATATGTCTATCCTTCTGCCAGTACCATATAGTCTTCATTACTGTATATTTGTAGTCAGGTTAGAAATTGGGAAATGTGGGTCCTCCAACCTTCTTCTTTCTTTTTGAAATTGTTTTATTTATTCTGGGTTCCTTGCATTTCCATATTAGGATCAGCTTGTCAATTTTTACAGCAAGGCCAACGGATTTTGATGAAGACTGTGTTGATTCTGTGATCAATTTGGGGAGTATTGCCTTCCTAACAATATCGTCTTCTGATCCATAAATATGGATACTTTTACATTTATTTACATCTCCTTTAATTTCTTTCAACAACATTTCATAGTTTTCAGAGTATAAGTTTTGCACTTCATTATTAAATCTATTCCTAGGTATTTTATTCTTTCGTGTGTTACTATAAATGGAAATTTTTTTCTTTATTTCATTTTCAGATTGTTCCTTGCAAGGGTATAGAAATACAATTGGATTTTGTACATTTGATTCACTTTTGCTCTAAGGTAACACTTATGCTGGTAACAGAAAACACCTACAAGAAATACGGTTTAGAATAGATTATCCTAATGAAATAACACATTATAGCCAAGCAGGGGTTCTGTTTCATCCTGAGGAATGAAATATCTCATCAAAAAGCAGATGCATAATGCAAAGGCATTTAAATGTATCATATCCATCCCATAGAGGGCTTTTGATACTTAAGTATCTCCCGGAACAGGTAAATAGCATTGTCTATTTCTATTTGTACTTAATTTTCTCCAGCAACAGCTAATAATTAACTAAGTACTGGCACCCTAATTCTCTTCCTTCTAATTTTGACTCAGATGTCAGTTCCTCAGAAGGTCTTTCCTGACCCATCTGTGTATGGTTGTCCTCCTGCATTTACTTGGTAACACATCACCAAATTTATTGCCTTAATCACACCTATTACAATCTGTAATTATCTCATTTGTTTACTGTCTGTCTGTACTACATAGTGTAAGTCCATGAGAAGAGGGATTTTTCGTGTATTTGCTCACTATAGAATTTCTAATGATTAACACTAATTTTTGGTGCACTAGGGAATAAATGGATTTTCCAACTACAAAAGCATAGCATTGATAACTACCAACCATGCAAAGCAATAAACAAATGGCATTGACATTGCACTTGTGAATGCTTTTATGTACACCCCAAAGAATTGTAGAGATATGAATAAGATGGGTCAGAAAGACTCACTCATTAGCTAAGTGCCCCAACTCCTCACATGAGCCTCAAAGCTTGGGTTCAAAGTCGGCTTCCTACACAAAATGATCAGTTGTATACACCATGGACTTTTGGAGTTGCCCTTCAATAGTTGAACTCTTGGATGTTAGATTTGCAAGTGTCCATGATATATTTTGTGGCTGTCTGGGGAAAGTCCATGAGAGGATTTTCTTTTAATCTGAGTACATTTAGATTCTAGCAATTCTAGTTGTCACAATATTATTCATTTGATTATTTAGTCTAGTTAGACGTCCTGAAATCTTTCATTCTATTCTGCAGTTTCTATATCCATCCAGATTTGTGTAACTTCAAAATATTCTCAAGTCAATTGACGTGCTCGGTGAAGACAAAATACTACAAGAATTCAAAATATGCCTTACATATTTAACTAAGATAAATATAACATTTTAAGAGAGTTCCAGGAAATTTGAGGAAAAGGAAGTGCAGTTTTAGTTATCAATCAACAGCATATTTCATGTTAATTGCAGAAACAGAGGGCTGAATTTAGAGGGTAGGGCCACAAACAGAATGATGAGCCTTTATTGAGCTTTGCAGGTGGGCTGATGGTAGTTCTTGTTTATACAAATCCATGTTAATTTGGATTTCTGGCTCCATTTTCCTTTTAAGAGGGACAAGGATAAGAATCATTCATCAGCGATAAACTGATGTGATAAACATTTAAAGAACTTGAGCTCTTATGTTTTAGAAAATTTAGAAAACCAGTTGATTCAAAAAAGTTTTTCCTATCTAATATTTTACCCAGATTAATTAGGAAACATGATTTTTCCCTAAACATGAACCAGAAAAAATACAGGTAAGAGACTTAATGACTCTGTCTCTGAAGGAATTGTGTGTTATTAATTCTGAATTCCAAAGATTTCACATGGTATCTGGCATATAAATGTTTGATAATCATATTGAAAAAGAAAGGACATTATCTTAAAGTAGATTGGGTACTTTCAGTCTTGACCTCATGGGATCTTTAGTGTTGAGGATGACTTCAAGTGGAAATGGGACACAGTTTTGGAGGCCTTGCTTAGTAAAGGAGTCTGGAGTGAGTGCTCTTCTGACTTACATTTCTTTCTCTTGCCTATACCAGACTAGTCAGTATTATAATTGTACTGCCTGTCCTGATCTATTAAAAGGAATCATACAGCCCCTTCCGTATCTTAGAATGATATCCCCTTTCCCAATGTGATTTGCTGGATTTTCATCTTCTCTATTGATGTTGGACATGGGGGAGGATCTTGAAACCAAGATATTGAACTGATGCCTTAAAATGTGAAGAGTTCCCAAGGAAGAAATAAAGTAGACCTCCCAAGTTAAGCGTCCTTAAATTAGAGACAAAAGTCAAAGAGGCAGGCTGATTTCTTTCTGATACCAATTCTGGTTGTTATGGAGATGGGAGGGGGAGGAAACAGGAGGATTGTGAAATGTGCAGTGGAAGAAGGGGTTACTTATATAAGCTGGTGGCTCATAATATATCCCTTTAAGCTAGGTAGGAAGCATTCTCAACCTGGCTCCCATGGCACTTTGGGAATCAAGGTATCAATAATTTCCAGAAAATTCTGCAAACAAACCTGATAGTTTTTTTTTTGGTAACCTTACCCCAAAATTCTAAAAGACCACAGGTATTGAGAAAGGCCCTGGACCTGGTACTGATCTCCACTGCTCTTTCCCAGGTCATTTTTATTCTAATCTGAACATGACTGCATTGAGAATTCAGATTCAAATCACTTATAATAATTACTGAGCTGTCGCCTCTTGTTCCCTGAGAAATCCCCATCACCCATTCTGATAGACACCATGGGACTTCTTCCACTTCCCTTGGATAAGCCAGTACTTGCCAATGGTTTTCAAGATGCCAAAAGCCACCTGGGCTTATTTTTCTCCTAGAACCAGGTAGTAAAGAGAGACTTGATACTAAATAACTCTTAAGTAAAACAAGCTCAACCATTGCTCCTGGAGCTACAGCCAGCAGAGTCTTGGCCTTGACCCTTTAATGAATGGCCCGGGGGGTGGGGTGGGGGGAGAAGAATCCTCAGGCAGCAGCACCTGCTTCTGGAGAAGGTGCTTGTGCGAGTTTCTTTAGAAAATGGTTTCCGGGGAAACCATATAACTTCTATTCTTTTTTCTTAAATGTATTAAGCACCAAACGTGCCTGCTAGGGCTTGGAGTTCTCATTTGAAGTCAGGAGCTGCTGAAGAAGAGTGTTTGCATGAAACACACCTACATAGCCAGAAATCATTTTTATGCTTCCTTCACTAAAATGTCAGCTGCATACTCAGCTGGGGAGAATTAAGTGACCCGGGTTTATCTCTGGGGTGAAAGATAGGGAAGATTAACTCCAGTTGCTTGAATTGCTTTTCTTCCCTGTTAGTATGATGGGTACTAAGAAATGATAGTCATGTTCAGATTGAGCAGCTGTGTCTTACGAGTTAGATCCTCTGTACATTAGACTATGTAGACAATAGAATGTCTTTCTGTAGATCGTTTAATATGTAAAGAAATATTTAAGCAAGAAAAAAATCACAGAAAACTTGCCCGAAGTGTTTCCACACCTACATAGCCCCTTTCATGGCCGAAGACCTTCAGGAACTTGGTGTACTACCCTGCCCAGGTTTCCAGGGTAGTAGGGGTAGGTCCTGGCAGCCAGGTTTCCAGCACGTGGCCCCGCCTCCCTGATCGTAACTGATTGGCCTAGAGGTGGACAAGCTGAGCCAATCACAACCTTCAGTGTGGTTTAATTGGAACTTGAAGATGCTGGAGGTTTAAATTAGGTGTTCCAACCAGAGGAGGGCTGAGACGTGGCCGTGCTTAGCGACCTGCTCAACCAAGGAGAGGAGAGGGGGTCCGCACACAGAGATACAAGCACACAGAGGAGAAAGGTAAGGCAGAGGTGGGGAGGGAGAGAGATTGGAAAGACTTTTTGATGTTTTTAGTTCCCATTTCTTTGGGAAGCTTGGATGTACTTCTTGATCTAAGGTTTTATGAGACAGATTTAGATCCTTAAAATAAATCCCACTTTGTTCTTAAGTTAGAGTGGTTTTCTGTTACTTCCAATTAAAAGGCCTCTCGTAAAACACCCAGCTTTGCTAGAATCAGCTTTTAGCACATGTCTTTCCCTGGTCCAGGTTTTGGGTTTTGTCATTTCTGACTGCCTGGGTGCTCTGGTAGGTGTACTTTTCCTGGTATTGCAAGGACACTGACCTCCTTCACCGGCCATTTGAGGTGGGTATGTGGCTTTAGTCATGCGCTTCACACGGGGTGTGGTTGGGTGATCTGCACAGAAATGCTGCTTCACACTCATGTGATGGGTTCTGGTGGAAGTGTCAATGAGGCTTTTAATAGAACTGCCACCCAGCAGGCTGACCAGAAAAGGGCTAGAATTGAGGAGATTCAGAATTGTCCCTGCGAGGGAGACTTCTGGGTTTAGGGGGACTTTTTGTTTCAAAAAACACAGAATAGTAGATGGAGAAGGAACCTTAGGCAGAGTCCAGCTCTACCTCTTCTTTCTCCAGATGAGAATCCTGACCCCCTGAGGGGCTGATTGGTTTGCCAGGGGGTGGAACCAGGACTCCCCACCTGCAGCAGCGTGTTCTTTCCCCAACCCCATTCTGCCTCTAGCACTTTTTTCATGAAAAGAATATTTAGATTCCTGTGTAGGGAAGGAAAAAAATCCTCTGCCCTCTGCGTGTTTCCAGCTGGGCCTAGGAATTACAATGGCATAAGACAGATTAACAGGTGAAAAGCATCCAAGTTTTATTAAATTTTTATGTGTATGTGGAGGGCTTCACAAGAGAATGAGGTCCCAAAGAAGTGACCAGAACAGAAAGCTTTGGATCTTCTAGATAAGGAAATGGTACATTTGGGGAGAAATGGCAAGGCAAAGGGGTTTGGGTTAGGGGCAGTAAATTGTGGGGAGGTTACTAAGATATATATTGGTGAGGGAAGTTAGTGGAAGAGGAGGAGAGTTATTTTAGTGTATTTGTACAGATCCATTTTGGTGGTGAATCCAAGTCTCTGGTGATAAGGATGTGCTTTTCTTCCTGATACAGGGAGGGCGGGCACCTCTCTCATGGAAGCTTTTATAGAAAAGGGGAGCCTGGACCATTCTTGCATCTGCTGTTTCTTAAGTGCTTTCAGTTAAAAATAGTCAATATGCCAAAGCGGCATATTTTGAGGTGGCACATTCTGAACTCCTTCACCTGAGATCTTGCCTTCTGCACTGTTTTTTGGAATATATCTAATAAAGTACTTATACCACATATATGGCTAGGGATTTTTATGGTGCTTGTAACGAAATTAGATATTTATTTTAATTTTTAAAGCAAATTGAAGAAAAATATGAGTCCACAGGTAAAGTGAATGAGTAATTTTTTTTTTTCAGTAGACTTCTATGCATGGTGTTTGTCTAACTTCAACCTAAGTTATCTTAGCCTGTGTTTGTTCTGACGGCAAATAAGCCATGATAACCTGAACTTTTTTCACATGGGTAGAACCATGATAAAATCTAAGTTTTGTCTTTGTACCACAGGACCCTTTAAATCACATTGATTACACACATGATTTCCATATTTACTTCCTAAAATGTTTCTCTCTTGACCCTTCAGTACTCTGTGTGAGATTATGAGCCACTGTTTTGTTCCTGTCATGCCCGTGCTGTGTCCTGGTTCACACCATTGTCTTGCCTGGTCTGTTGCAGAGGCTTTCTGGCCTCTGGGGGGACCCCTGTATTGCATTTGCTCCAAAAGATGGTCTCTAGAATTCCTCTTCTAGTTTGCAATGGACAGGGTATTGGTTTTTGGGTGTGTGTGGTTTTTTTTGTCAGCTTTGCACCCATTTCTCTTTCTTTTGAAAGCAGCCCTTGGATTTTCCTTTGAGAACCCAGCCCCGTTCAGTGAGTGGAGTTTGGGTAGGGCCGACCCCCCCCCCCAAAAGATGGACACTGTATTCCCCTGGTCATAGCATTTACGTTGGTAATGGGTGATGTTGATTATGGAGAAAGCTGTAGCTACCAGACCTTTGATGGAACTATTGGGGAAGAAGCATTCTGTTTGCACAGGGGAGCCTAAGCCCCTGATGTAAGTCTTAAGCTGTTGATGGCCATCTTTGCTACAGTGTGGAGAGAATCCCCATGAGAAAGAAGTCAAGAAGGGGAAGGTAGTACTGAGAGATGGTATCATTTATTCTTTGGCACCAGCTGAGCCCGAAGCCAGATGCACCTCTTTACTTTCCAGTCGAGTGCACCAATACATTCTTTTTCGCTTAAGCCAGTTTGAATTGGGTTTCAGTCACTAGCAACCTCAAGCGTACTGGCTAATGCATGGCCAAATCGCTATTGTCCTTAAAAGGTACTCATGCTTTTTTGTTACATGCAGAATAAATCCAGCCTCTTTTTGGCTTCAAGGCTTTTTATGATCTTCCCCATTTTAGCCTTCGCTTCCCACTCTTCTGCCATACAGCCGACACTCCTGTGGTGGTGTTTTCGTTGGCATTTCCTCATGTCCCTCGCACGTTTACACCTCACTGCCTTTGTACCTCTCCTGCCCTCACCCATGTGGAATGCTTTTACCCGCGTGGTGAGATCCTATGTATTCCTCAAAACCACACTCACATGTTACCTTCATTAGGAAGCCTTTCCTGGGCCCCGAGTCAGAAGGAACTTGTGGCATCTTTGTATTTTCTTGACTCTGTTTTATACCTCTATTACAACACGTCCCAACCTGTCTTCGCTCTCTAGTTGAGAGGTCAGCTTTACGGCCTCGCCCCTACTCCCAAGCCTGCAACGGAGCAGGCGCAGTAGATGAAGATGCTCCACCAGGGGTCTCCCGGACAGTCCGGTGTGAATGTGCCTGTCCCCTCCGCCAGATGGCGCTTTACTTATTTTTGTTTCCCCGGATCACCGAGGAGGGCGGAATGCCCGGCACACAGTGGACACTGAATAAAGGTCTGTTAAACGGGGGACTTGGTCTCTCTTTGAAATGCTCTCACACTCTTCACAGTGATTTTCATAATATAGATTTGGGCTTCCACTTTTGGTGAAGGGCTGTAACGGCTGTTGGAGTGGACAGACTTCCCGGACGTGGTTCTTAGAGTTTCCATTTGGCTTGATGATTGCCGCTGAACTTGCCTCTTTGAATCAACTAGACGGTAGGAGGGAGAGAATGAGAAGAAAAAGTGGGAATGCCACTTGACGAACCAGGGTTCAGCGCTCCGCTTCTCTCCTCCTCCTCTTCCTCTTCTAGAGCGAAATGCTGCTCTAGAAGGTCTCTTTCTAGATCCTCTGATGACTTCAGGTGTTCCTGTGCCCCCTTCTCTCCTCTTCCTCCCTGCTGGGCTACGTGAGCACGGCCCTAAGATCCACGAAACAGCAAGCTTACGTTTAAGAAGTGGGATATCTGCATCAATATGTAAAACACGCGCGGCATGAGTTATGCCTTTGTATTTATAGGGACGTGTCCAACTTTTTGGTCTGCAGGTTCCCTGACAAGGCTGAAAGTAGCAGACTTTATACACATGGATTATTCTTAGATTAGTGGCCGCCACTGCTGTTTACAGATCCTGGCAATGTTTAGGACTCTGCTATTTTTAGATTCAACTAACATTGCCAAGGGGACACTCTGTGCCCTGCACTGTGCTAAGTTCTTACATGAATTCATTTGTCTTTTTTAATCTTTGGAACAACTCTGAAATGTGTTAGCTATCTATTGCCGCATGAGAAATGACTCAAACTTGGTGGCTTAAAACCATAACATTATTATCTTATGGTATCCGTGGATCAGGAATCCAGGCACAGTTTAGCTGGGTCCTCTGGCTCTGGGTCTCTCACAGGCTTGACTTGAAAAGACCTCTTGCCCAGCTCATTTATGTGGTTGCTGGCAGAATTCACTTCATCTCTCCCTGTGGGCCAGAGGCCTCCCTGGGTTCCTTGCCACACAAACCTCTCTAGAGAGAGGTTCACGACATGGCAGGCGGCTTCATTGAGCTGAACAGGTGGGAAAGAGCGAGCTAGAGAATGCTAGTAAGGTGAAACTCACAGGCTTTTGCAACCTCATCTTGAAAGTGATGTCGCATCATCTTTGCTGTATTTTATTTGTTAGAGGCAAGTTGCTAGGCCCAGTTCGTACTCAAGGGGAGGGAATCACACAAGGGTGTGACACCAGGAGTCAGAGATCACTGGGGACCATATTGGAGGTCTACCTATGACAGAGATAGCTTAAAGCCCATTTTACAGATGAGAAAATTGAGATGCCATTAGAAAAACAGAGATGATTGATGATGTACGTATATGTATTGATGAAAATTCATGTCTCTGAGGCGTATTTCTCAAGCGTAGGTTGGTACATGTTTTCAGCCTCCTTAGAGGTTTGACTTTCCCTACCAACCCATAGAATCTGCCCCTGTGTCTTCTAGAACATTGCTATGCGAAGTGTGGTTCGGGGACCAGCAGCATTGGCTTTGCCTGGGAGCTTGTTGGAAATGCAGAACCTCAGGCCTTGTCCCAGACCTATGGAATGAGCATCTGCATGCCTGGTGATCTGCGTGCACACTAAAGTCGGAGAAATGCTGCTCCAGAAGGTCCCTTTTCTAGGTTGTCTGATGACCGCAGGTGTTCCCACGCTCCTCTGTCTGCTGGCACTGCTCGTTGCTTGCCCTTCAGCAGTAGTGGGGAATATGACCATGTATCGCTGCATGAATTTGAAAACCAGAGGAAATGAAGCCCCTGAAATGAAGGTTTCTTGTAACCTACTGTCTTGTGTAACCAACAAGGGAAGAGGAACAAAGGGTCTCTCTCCGTAATCTTAGGTAGAACAGGAACCCCTGGCCTGCATTGTGACAGATGGCAGACAAACGTGAAAGTTGACATTTGGCTCTGGAGTGAACT